AACTTATATCTTAATATTTGTGAGTCTTATGGATGATAATGATTAGAGGTTGAATAGGTAATTACAGTACTCACTTTCACAGGTGTATTTTATAAAATTATACATGTTTTTCTTGTTGGATAATAGTTTTGATCCTTATTTTTATATTTTTTAAATATCTAAATTCTTATACATGTACCTCTTATTCACAACTCCTTAACTGAAATTAAAAAAATTTAACATTATTTTATGAACTAACAAAATATAAATATCATTGTAAAATAAATAATTTTTTAAAATATTTTAAATATAATACAAAATTACAAATAAAATATTCAAATATTAAAATATCAAATTATAGTATAATAGATGTACAAAATTGTTTATTTAAAAATTTAGTTTTAATGATATATATGTCTATTACATCATAATTGATTTACTCAGATTAATCGCAATGTGCAATCAATTTAAATCATGATGATGAAAAAAATTACGATTAATTATATTTATTTTAAAAATAAAATATAAATTATTTATTAATTTGTTCACTAAAATATAACAAATTGTTCCGAGATTAATTATTTTGATTAAATAATAAAATGTGAAATAATTTTAGAGATTAATTATATATTAAAAATATTGAATTTATTAAAACATATTCTTTTATAGCCTTTTTCTTATGCGTGCTTTGGTGGTTTGTTGAAGGAATTTTAGAGTTATATGCTAATTTGAATGTAAGAAGAAAAAAAAGGTTTATTTTTTGGGTGGTGAACAAGACATGTGTAACAATGAAGAAAAGAAAAGAAACAAAAAAATCATTATGTAAACACCAACACCTGCGACATTATCTTTTAGAATCCAATATATGCAAACTGGAATATTAGTAGACACCATCAAACCATAATCATTTTGATGAAACAATGATCATTTTGATGCCAGACACCATCAAACCGTAATTATTATGATGGCACCAATGTTTAAGACCATAAATAGCCCTATTTGTCTCCCTAATACCATGTGCTGACCCAACTCTTCAATAATCTTAAAAGGTAACCTCTTTGTTGAGATTTCCCTTTTCTCCCTCTTTCTATCGGAGGAATTAGAATTTCTAAGACACTAATGTTCATTAGTTCAACTCATTACTTCTGAATGTTAGACTATTTATATTAAAAAACGTTATCTGTTTAATTATCTTTTAAAAGAATTATGAATGGTATTGATTTAAATAATTTTATTGAAAATGAAATTATATAAGTTATTTTAAGTATTATTCAAATTTGAATGGTATTGATTTAAATAATTTTATTAATTAGTTTAATATATTTAGTATTTAAAAGTGTGTATTAAAAAATAAAATATATTTGAAATAAAAAAATTATACACACTCACAAAATTATAGTTTTGTATTGCATATTATTAAATTATTTTATAATAAAAAGACAGATAAATTATAATATAAATTAAAATAAATTTATTAAATTAATTTTTTATCTTCTGATATATCACTAAACATATCTTTATTTTTACCTGTATAAGTAATTCTTATATAACTCTTAAAAATTTGTCAATAATTCTTTATATCATATTATTTTGTATTTATATATTACAATAATATAAATTTTCAAGAGTTATTTGTCCAAGCAAGTATATATATATATATATATATATATATATATATATATATATATATTAGGTTCATATATTTTATTTTGTTGCAGTAAATTATATAAAAATATTTTTTATTTATTTAATAAACATAAAAATATATTTTTTTAAGTGGTATAATGTATTATATTTTATTTTTATTTGATTAAATTTATGTGAAGTATGTATTAGAGTGATGTTTTTATTTTTACATCCGAATTAACAAATATTTATGTCATTATTGACATACAAAGTATTACTCATTTTATAAATTCATTCAGTATAGAAATTATATTATTTTTTTTATAATGGTAACTATTAATAATACTTTCATTTTTTTAACTAAATTTTAATTGTTCATTGTCATTTTAATATTGATATTTAAATTATGTATATACTATTAAAAATATTGATATTATAAGATTTATTTATTTTTTTTACGTAAGAAAATTTCAAAAAATTTATACAAAATTTTGATTATAACAAAATCAAACAGTGATATGATAATTTATTTGTTTTTATTTTTTTATTCATCTTTAACTGAAATTATTTTTAATTAAATTTTAAGAATGGTGTTATTTGCTTTTAAATGTTACATTAATAGTTATGAATTTAAATTTTAAATTAAAAATAATTAATAATAATAATTAAAATAAATTAAATAATATTAAATATTATTATAATAAAACTGTAATATATAAATTTGTTATTAAAATCTTATTATAATTGTTGGATTTGTATATTTAATATTTTTATACTATAATAAATGAACAAATAAATAAATTATAACATTTTTAATATTTTTTTCACATTTTAAAGACATGAATTAATTTTTAAAATATTATAAAAATATTTATTTCAATAATTTTAATATTAATATTTAAAATTATATTTATTTATTAACATTTTATATTCTAATTATGTAAATTTTTTTGAATTTAGAATTAAATTTTGAATGCTTTTAAATTTTTTTTAGAGTACTCAATCATGTGATATACTTATAATTCATTCTCTACTTATAAATTAAATTATACATAAAATATAAAGTAAGATAAATATATATTTTTATATAAAATAAATATATATTTTATATTAATATAATTATTTATGATATCATATTTTTAAAATTAATACCTATTTAAAAGTTACAAAATATTTTAAATTAAAATCATTAATTATTAGTATATATTTACTTATTATAAGTTAAATTTAAATATGTTATTTTATAATTATAAATTAATAATTTTATACATAATTTATCAAATAAATTTCTGTTAATATTTATTTTAATTTTTGAAAAAATAATTAGACTTCATTCAAATGTATCTTACTTTAGTATAACACTAAATCTTATTATTTATTGAAAAATATTTGTTATTATATTTCTACTCATTAGTATATATTTTTTTTTATATTTTTATTTTAAAATATTTAATAACAATAATAATATAATAAATTTACATTACTTATATTTAAAAATAATTAATTTTTACTAATTAATTTTATTTTCACATTATCTTTAATTTATTTATAATTTTTTTTTACGTTTACATCAACTAAAAGAATAAAAAATTTTATTGTTGAAGAGAATAAAAAATATATAAAATATAAAAAAAAAGTTATGTATAAAAATATATTTATCATATTTTTTAGTGTAATTATATTTAATATTATTTAGTATAATAAAATTTTATTGTTACATTTATTTTTTATATTTAAATTATAATTATTTTTAAACTAAACTAACTAATAAAAAATATAAATATATTTATGCAAATATTTATAACGCATAGATATATTTATTAGTTCTCATGTAAAACTAAAGTTATAGTTATAATCACACATTAATTTTTGTTGCAAATACATGCTTGTCTCACTTTTTTTTTCTTTTACTTTTCGTTTGTCTTACTTTCTATTTTAAATTATTTTTTATTATAAATTATAATATAATCAACAATTTTATTAGTCTCTGTAAATTGTAATGCAAATTTTATATAAATAGTGTTTGTTAAAATATTTTTCTATGATAATATTAGGAGTTTAAATACTTCTTTTTACAACTCCTAATAGATATAATTGTCTAAAAATAAAAGACTGGCTTAAAATTAAAATATATGATTAATAAGTGCATATATAATTGTTTATTTGAATATTGATTATGATAATTATTAAATTTTTGAAATACAAATATTTTATTAACTTACAAGTATTTTAAATTCACTTAAATTAGAAGTTTAAATATACTAGTATCACAATAATTTAGAAAAAAGATAAAATAAATATTTTATAAAAAATTTAGAAAATTAATGTTTTAATATAATAAATATTTTTTTTAAAAATACATTAGTAAATATATTTCTAATTTTTAAAATAACCATTACTTTTAATAAATTCATAAAACAAGTTTAAATATTCTAATAGTTTCTATAAAACTATTTTAATGTCTCCCTAAAATCAATTGTTGTATAATTTTTTTAATGTATATAATAAGTTGCCATATATAACAAAATTATAACTTAGTTTGAATAAACTTTTATATAAGTTCTTAAAGAAAAAAATTAGTGTAAAAAAGGAATAGTTTTTTTTTTCATAAGTTATAAATAATTTATACTTTTATATTTTTTGAAAGTCTTAAAAATTTTTCTATTTATCTTCTCTAAAATTTAAAAAGATAAAAATTATGTTTAATTTATGAAAAAATATTATTATTTTTTATATTAATTTTTTTATTGTATAAATTTTTTTTTTAGAAATTGACTCAAACTTAACCTATATCTATCAGGTAAGTTAATGAGTATCAAATAACAAGGAAAGAAGCAAACATTTTAAACATTTGCATGATAAAATTATAAAAATTAAAATTAAAAACAATTTAATATCAGGATATTTTAAAAATAAAAGATTATATCATTAAAAATGTGTAAATATTAAATATAAATTTTAAATTTATCATTATTACTGTTACAATAATTAAATGCAGTATAGAAAATATTAAATTATTTATATATTAATTAAACTAAAAAAATCGCTACATTAAATACATGTTAAAACCATATATTAAATAATATATTTAAAATATATTTTAACGTATAAAAATTATATATAATAAATTATAACATTTAATACAATTAATACATTAAATTTCATTAAATTCTGTAATTTTTAATTAAAACTCATCATATAATTTTTTTTATCTTTCGACAAGTTAGACAACAAAAAAAAAGACGCGCATTCGATTCCAATTCCCAAGTTGCGAAAACGACTGTGCAAGCAGCAAGCACCCCTTCTTTGGCCTTCTTTTTCTCACCCTTTCCTTCTTTCCATATATTATTATTTTTATTTTCTATATAATCTGTCACAATAAGACATTGTTTTCTACTCTCATTCCTTAATTTCCCTTCTCTTCCTTCTTTGCCTTTCTTCACTCTTCTCTTTTTGGTTCTCCTTTATTTTTTCCTACTCTTCTCTTCAAGATGACCGGTGTTGCTGATGAAGGTACTGTGACCCTTGATATGCTGAAGCAGTTAATGTCTCAGTTTGCAAAGGAAAGGGATTGGGAGCGATTTCATAGTCCAAGGAACCTTCTTTTGGCTCTGGTATGCTTCTTTTCCAATACCCATGAAAAAAATGGTCTTTTTCTGAGTTAGTGTTGCACCCTTATATGAGCTTTATTGGTTTGGCGTTTAGTCTTTTTGAGAATATTATTATTTTAGGGTAATTTTTGGCGAGGTTTGCGTTGTGGCTTTTATGATCAACGAAAGAAGGGTGCAGAGAAGAAGAATCTCTTTTTTATATTTATAATCTGTTCTTTGTGGGTTTTGATTTTCATTTGATTTATGAGTGGGATTGGCACAGATTCTTGATGTCTGTATAAAGTTGTTTTTTTATCCTAGCAAGTTGGGGCTTTTCTTTTTCTTTTTTTTGGGGGCGGGGGCTTCCTTTTGATTTTGTATAATCTTAATTTTATAAATTATTATACTTTAAATTAGTTTGAAGAAAGAGAATATGTTAAATTTTTTATTGTAAAAGTAAATTTATAACGGAATTTAATACTAAGTTCTTATTTCGAAACAAAATGTTTTTAGCTAAGCATATTTTTTAGAATACAATTATTTTTAACTTTTATTTATTTTTTCCAATAGTCACGTTAACCCCCATGAAACACGGTGAGTTGGGGCACGAGGAGTCACAGCCCATTTTACTATTCAAGCATGCATTTATCTTTCGTCATTCATATTTTTCATGGTCTATTTTTGAATTCTTGTCAATTTGTCAATTGTCAAACCCAAGTCAAAATCTACTTTGCAATACGAATATATTCGATTTAACTATTACTAAAGAATATATGCAATTTTCTTCGACCTTCAATTGTGCTGAACTTTTCTAACTTTTGTTCCCTCCTAGACCGCAAAAGTGGGGCAAAAGTAGGATTTATGTTGTACTCAAGCTGCTATGATATAAAATTTGGGTATCATCTCTTCTCTTTCCATCATGTTCAAAAGAATATTATGGTGATAGCAAAATGTGCTGATTAAAAAAAATATTTTGTTTGATTTCAAAGTATATTTTAAAATATTTATACATATAAAAAATGCAAAAAATCACATTCGATTTTTTTATGTTAAGATAATGAAACGATTTTTTTATTGATAGGTGGGTGAAGTAGGAGAATTGTCTGAGATATTTCAGTGGAAAGGTGAGGTTCCAAAGGGTCTTCCAAATTGGAAAGAGGAGGAAAAGGTTCATCTTGGGGAAGAGTTATCTGATGTATTGCTCTACCTTGTGAGGCTCTCTGACATTTGTGGCGTTGATCTTGGCAAAGCTGCTTTGAGAAAGGTTGAACTCAATGCTATAAAATACCCTGCAAAAGTGTGCAAAGAGGTTTCAACCAAACAAGATGAGGACTCCTCTGCCACCGTCACTTGTACCAATAATGGCACTGCCACTGATGGTGATACATAATGTGTAGTGAATGTCTTTAGCTGAATTACGGGCACTTTGGTGGATTTTGTACAATGGTTTGTTCTGTGCTACCATTGCATGAAAACTACTGTCTCGTGGTTTGGTACATTTGTTCTCAGTTTTTTGTTACTGTTTTGACAGAATCAAATCCCCGTGACAGATATGAGATTTGATGGTTTCTCTTTCTTCCGTTTTTGGTTAATTTGCTTTTTATATTTTGGGAACAATTCAATTATGATGCATTATTAGAACCGCCAATTCTCTCATATATGATTTCTTTCCCGAATCTTATTCTTTTCCCGTAATTTTTAATTATGCTTTTACTCAAACGTGTATTACATTTTACCAAATGAGGGAATTAATCGTGTGATATCAGATGGTTATTATTTTTTATATTTTTTTAATAAAACATGTACACTTTAATAAAATTTAATTTAAATATATTGAAAGAGTGAACTTTTTTTATTGTCATTCATTCATAAATATTGATAATAATTATTTTGTAATAGTTAATATTAAAATTATATTTACAATGTATTTTAATTAATTGATAGTGTAAATTTTTTTTATATTAACCGTATTTTAAAATTATTTTTTTAATAAGCATAACATTCTTTAAATTAATTTTATACATGAAATTTAATTATATTTATTAGAATTAATTTTACCCAATTAAACCTTAAATAGACATAAAATAAATAAAAAGCTCATTTCTAATATATAATGAGTGTGGAATTTTTTATATTATAATTAATTAAAATATGGCATGAGTATAATTTTAAAATAAAGTATTTTTAAAGTTAGTTAATAACTCAAGAAATGGAAATTCAGGATTCAGTGGTGTTTTAAAAAAAATTATATTGAGTAAATTTTATTTAAATTCATAAACAAGTCGTTCTCTTTTATTTATTATTTTACGATTCTGGGTTGTGGGTCCTTGGGCATTTGAAAACATTTGTTGGGTTAAATTTATCATTCATGACAAGAAATACGTAATTAATATATTAAATTTATATCAATATATTATTTTATATTTTTTGTTTTAAAAAATATTTTTAAATATATTTATTTAAAATACAAAATTTATCTTTTACTCCAATGTATTCGAAAAGCCTTTATTTTGGGATAGTTGATAATTGTTGTGCATCGTTCAAGTGTTGCTAAAGTATGAAAAGTTGCTCTTTAAAGGCTAAAATTGATGCACCTCACGGGACTTGAGTTTACGTGATGCTATTCTTACAAGTCAAAAATGATATTTTAAATAGACTTTGAATTGTCTCATATTGAAAATTCTTTTTCTGATGTATTAGATGACAACCGACATTTGAAACTAAGGTACCAAGCGTCATTTAGTTCAATACATTCTTCTTAGCATTTTTCAGTTCTTACTCTATTTAGTTCAATTAGATAGTGAGAAGTTGGTTCTGATTTGGTGACTTGAATCACGGATTGAACGAAGAGTGATCATACTTGTGAAGGAAAAGCGACGGAGAAAATTGAATTGAACATAAAATTAAAAGAATTGATAAAAAAAAATTATAATTCGAGTTTAACGGACACATCAGACTGGTCAAGGAAAGGAAATTTCTAGTTGTTTATTCTGTAACTGCGAACATTTGTGCAAATTATGTCATCCATTTACTTAGTCACTACTGTAAAAATAGTTTTTTACATTAACTTTTTATATAAATAAATAATTAATCAATTTAATAAAAGGTGCCGTAACATTTTTAACTATAACATCAACTTTTTAAAATTAATTATAAAAATAATCGATATAAAAAATATTTTATACTTAAATTTCAATTATAAATTATTTTTTTATATTGATTAAAATTTTGAGTTAACTTTTGAATAATAAAACAATATATCAATTAAATCTTTATTATTATCAGACTAATACCTATAAATTATCTTAATATACTTATTTTTAACAAAATTTTTGAAATATAAAAGAAATAGAAATAATAGACAAAACGTTGAAATTTTGAAAAAATATTTAATTCAAACTTCCTTCAATGTTTGGTTGGTTAGTAGATCATAAAAATTATATAAAAAAAATATATAATTTATATAAGTTATAGTTTTACGTTAAAAGTTATATTTTTAAAAATTGTAAAATATTTTAAATCAATTGCTATATGATTAATATAAAAAATATTTTTTACGTTATTTGTTTTTAAAACTAATGTAAAAAGTTATTTAAATATAATTTTTTCCACAAATAATTTTTAGAAATAATGTAAACTATCATTTTCTATATCTGTTGTATGTAAAAGTAATTTAAAATGTAATATTTTTTGCTTAATATAAAGTATATATTTTTATATAAACGTTTTATGAAATGTAATAAAAAAATATAAAGTATAATTTGTTTATATACACATATATTTCTTTAAATTATAATAAAGAAATATTATCAGACTAATATCTATAAATTATCTTAATATTTAAATTTTATTTTTATATTTTAATTTAAAATAATATTTTTTTTATGTAATATATGTATTATAAGCACAACTATAATCTATTGAATCTAAATAATAATATTTTTACTATTTATTTATGTTCAATTTTTTTTTAAAAGATATAAAATATAAAAAATTATTGTTAATTTTTATTTGTTAATTCCTTCTTCAGATAAAAAAGTATAATTTGTTTATATACACATATATTTCTTTATTATAAAATTTTATTGTGACCATTTATCTTTTATTCAAATTCTTTCTTTTAAAATTTATATACATTATAAATATTTAATTCATTAAAATATTTTTTTAAAATTTATATTTTTGACAAAATACTTTGTGTAGTATATGAGTTAAAAATATTAGTATTAATATATATATATATATATTATATTATTTTAATTAAATTTATTATTTTTCTTATAATTTCAAATTCTAAAGTTTAAAAAAATATTTTATGTATCCACTTTTCCTTTTTAGTACTTGAACTTCTTTACCCTAACTCTATTCTCATTCTCAATGTTTGTATCATTAAAACCTAACAACTATGAAACGTTATTCATTAGAGCTGGTTGTCAATGCTGCCACAAGATATCACTAAATAATCCCACACGAAGGGCCACCAATTATGCAGATCTATTTCATTGTCGCGCTGATGTTGTCGATTGATCGAATCTCACACAAGATAGGGTTATCACCGACAAATAACTTCTGTGTTTAGTTTCGCTTATTATTTCTAAGAATTTTAGTTTAGAAAATTATTATATTAAGATACATTTAACACTTGTGATATTTAAATATTTACTTTTTTATCTATGATTGTAACTTATTCGACAACTACATATTGAATTTTTGTATTATACTACTTATGTGAAGTTATATAAACATATTTTTCTTTATAAATATTTTTTTTCTCAAACAAGCGCGGGTAATGGGTACAAGATGGGTATGCGGGTAGCTAGAGGGTCAGGTACGGGGATTAATGTTCATACCCACGTGGGTATGGGGCTGGGTACGAGTATTTTTTTAAAACGCGGGTATGGGAATGGGTACTATAGTACCTTACCCATTGTCATCCCTATACAAAATGTATAAGATGAATAATTACGAATGTGATTTTATTTTTTTTGCATTTTTTGTATTAAAGAAACATAAAATTTTTTATCTTGGTATTTTATTTTTTTATTTATTTTGAATTAAACATAACAATTTATTTTTTAAGAGAATTATTTGAAATTACTCTTAATTTTAAAAAAATTTAAAAGAAAATTTAGACCTGAAAATTTTTTAAAAAAGATTTTGGACTTGACGAATCAAGTTTTTGCTCCTATGTATCCTCTATGTGCAAGAGAGGAATCAAAGTCACATAATTCTTTTTTTAAAATTAGGTTTAGGATAAGTTGCAAAACTTGCAAGGATTTTTTTTTTGAAAAACTTGATTTTTCTTTATTATTATTATTATTATTATTATTATTTTAGTGAAACTCTTTTGAAATTGGGTTTTAGGTAAGTTTCAGAGATTTTTTTTTGAAAATTTAATTTTTTTGTTATTATTATTTTTAAATAAATCCACTCTTGCACGGGGTTCAAGTTAGCACAAGCTACTCAATAAACCCTTACGATCCAAATAACATTGAAGATGGATCCATTACTGTAACGCCTCTGATTTTGTAATAATATTTAAATTGCTGTGTATATGTGTATATGGAGTTTTTCATGTGTCCGTATGATTGAATTATGTGATGATGATGATGAGTATAGGATGGTAGTGAAAATGCATGAGATGAATATGGTTGTATATAAGTGTGTTTCTATACAATTGGACTGGACAGTTGATTTGAGAAATAGGTTAAGTTGGTGAAACTGAGATGTTCTCGCTGTAGCGACAGGATCTCACTGTGGCGAGAAGGCCCTGGGAGGAGGCGTAAGTTTGTCGCCTTTTCGCTGTAGCGAGAAAACGGCAGTGAGGGGTGCATTTCTGGTTGCAGTCTCGCTGTAGCGAGATTTTGCAGAAATCAGAGTGCAGTTCTCTTTGAGATTTTCGTTGTAGCAAGAGGGGGCATTGTTGCAGCGAGACATCCCTCACTGCAGCGAGAGGGTCTCGCTGTAGCGAGAGTGTTGCAATCAGAAGTGTATTTAAAGGGTTTAGGGTTAGGGAAAACATATTTCTCCCTTTCCCTTCATTCTCCCATTCAATTCTCTCTTTCCCCTGGCCTTTTTCACTGATTAAATAGCCCCTTAAGCCATTTGGAAGCTAGATCAAAGGTTGAAAACAAGTTTGGGACGTTTGGAGGTAAGTTTATGAGTTAGGGTTTTTGTTTCTCGTCTCTCTTTCATGTATTCTTGATTTCTCATGGGAATTTCATGGTTTAGGGATGAAAGATCCATGTGGAGAGCTAATCTACCGTTAATTTTATAGTGGGTCTCCATTCTAAGGTAAAGGGGAGTAAATCCCAAACTCTAACTTCTCTTGGATAGCTAAAAATAGGGGGTTCGTAACTACTTGGTTTACTATCTAAATGTAATTTGTAATAAAGGATGTGAATAAATATGCTCTTGAAGGAATATTACATTTTAAATGCGAAAACATCATTTGGGAGTAGTTAGAATAACGCCCAACCTTAGGATAGATGACTCTATAGCTATTATTGAGGAATGTGAGTGATGGTGTGTACGATTGGGCTGAGTTCGGAGGTGTTCGACCTCCGGCACATTGTATTGATTATGTGATGTATGGTGATTTCTGTTTTGAATGAGTTAATTGGTGATTTGATGAATTGCTGAGTGTTGTGATGTTTAAAACATGATATATTTATGTTA